GCCCGAAGAGTTTAAGATTCGGCATCAGTCTATATAATAGGCTATGTAACTTATTACCCCACTCAGCGACTCAGCCCGCTCAGTCGGCTCAGAACTAAATAATTCAAAAATTCATATTTATAACTCTACTTTTATCTTAAACTAAATTTCAGCCACTAATTCGTGGCTACGACAAATAATATTCAAAATCGTTTGCGAAGTCTCAACCGATTCTGTCATTTTGATTCGCTCAGTCACGCTCACGAGGTCACAACCAACGCCTATATTATACTAATAATATGTAATATCTATATAATGTAATGTATATTATATTATGTTGATGATGCATCATGCTAAATATTAAATAAATACATTGATAATATTTGACAATATTAATTAATATTAAATATAATTCTATATTATCTATGACTACATAGTAATTTAAAAGCATATCGCACATAATATTATCTTAGTTTTAATCCATACATCATATTATATCATATACAGTCAATATAATACACAGTGACGGAAAATCAAAATAAATAAAACCATGAAAATAAGACCCAAATTTTTATAATTTGTTAGAAATGACATTAGTTCTAATTAAAAATTTAAATCATTGATAATTCATTGATTGAATGATATCCATTTAAAGTTGAGTTTAAACGATTGATAAATATTTTAAAAACTAATTTTATTTGGCTAACCTTTGAATAGAAATCATACCTACAGAATTCAACCAAAAATAGCGGGCCAAGTGGGTTTCGCTCTGCTGTATAGTAGAGATGAAGAATAGGTCACCATTATGGATGTGTAAAAATTGAATGTAATGACAGGCATAGTAAACTAGTTTATGAAGTACTAAGTAGTGTAGTTTATAGGTAGGTACAGTTAAAATAAGATATAAACATATAAAATTATGAAACTAATGATGTTATCTGTTAACTTATAATTAAAATAAAATAATAACAATATTAATGGGAAGACGTACAACGGTATAGATAGTTATGATTGACCTTTATTTAATAAAGTCATTAACAAGGACAGGAGGCCAAGAGGGGCTTTATTATAGCAGTGAACTCGGAAAAAAAGAAGAAAATAATGTTTCGACGAATGAAGCAAAATGGGGATGATTTTGGTTAAAAGAAATAGCTTGAGCGTACGATAGTTTACCAGAATTGGGAATCCTATAATAGACTTGGGAAAGTCAACTTTAGTTTCAAAAGCAGGACTGGGAAGAGAAATAATATTAAATACCTCACTTTCAAATTCAAATAGTTATTGATAATATCCTAATGACTCCCATAATTTGATTATTTATATCTGAAATCGTGCTGAATGTTCAAACGAATATATTTTTGAAAATATTATATTACTTTAAAATCCAAAATAAATATACATCATGCAAAAGAATAAAAAGCATCTTGGGGAAAATATCCCTGTTCTGCCCATAATTTCGCCACTGTTTTTCGAACAGAACAACTATTTTCAAACTAAAACTTAGAAAGAATTAAGATTTAAGAAATAAATAATAAACTCTTGTGGAAAAAAACCTTTATCTAGTAGGTAATATATTAATATATATATTTGAACATAAGAAAAAGTGAACACTGATAACTTGCGAAATAAAATTCGCATTATACTTTTAATAATTATACTTGATGTGGCAATTAGGAACCTTGTTGGGAGTTTGCATATTATGGGGAAAAAATAATGAGCTAAGTTGAGTTTCAGTCGATAGGACTATGTTTTCGCATGTTATGAATCTAGTTTAGCTGTTTAGCAGTTCGGCTTATTAGATCCTAAAGATACTTTACTGACTTACTGTTTTAATATTAAGAGTTTCACCAAAAAAAACTAAAAAGTTCGTTTTATCAATAATCAAATTCTTGAAAATTATGATAACGAATTTATAGGTCGATGAGCGTAACCACGTTATATTATATGGTTTGGTTTTTAAAAGGTAACCACTTCAAATTTCAGTCATGTGAATATGTGATTATTGAGGTTATGTACTTACTACTTAATTTGTAAAATTGTTTTTAAATGTTTTTTGTTATTTAAATTATTTATTTACTACATTTACTTACGTAAGTATTATAGTAGTATAGTGCACTTTTTAATTTATTATGTTTCACCAGCTATTCCATTGTGTACTAAATTACTAATACTAATTTTATGTTCCGTTTTACTGCACTTGCGAATTTTTTGCACTCAGTACGGTGATAGACGATAGTTGTACGAGCTCTAAGTTTAACTGTTGGCTGAGGTTTGGATAACAATGTTTGCCTGTGTATCAGTATCATCTTCATAAATTGTCTGTACAAAATAGTTATAAGTATGCAGTGGCGAACCCAGGGTCTTAGTACTGTGGGTCTGCCTCACTTACAAGAGGCCAGTGTGTAGAAGAGATAAAACACAAGTCATAACTATTTTTTTAATACAATTTAAAACTTACTTACAAACTTTGATATTATTAATTAATTCAAATTTAATGTTTTTTTTATTTGTTACATTCAAATTAAAATTAATTTAACAAACTTACCTGGAATATTTAAATAATTTTGAGTACCTATTTTAGATTTTGARAAGAGATWATACATATTTATTATTATATTTGTATACATATAGTTGCAGTATATTTATTTTATCTTAATGTCCAATAACTGCATAACTGCTTTCAAAAGTTAAAATCCAATACAAAAATAATTCATATACAAAATTATGTTTTTATTATAACATACCTATAAAGAATAAATATAATATTACAATAATTTTCTATATTAATAATTCTTCTTTTACGAAAGAAGCTGGAGGTAGAATGTCATGTTCTGTTATAATATCTATAAAATAGGTATAGCTGGTTAGGTATAATCAAGACTTACTTTATTAAATATAATTATATAATAATTAGAGAAAAGTGAAACTAACAATTTTATAATGAGACACAAAACTTTTGTATTTCAATTCATTTTTTTGAAATAGTAAATATAAATTTAAATAATGCATTTATAAATATTATATTATATTGCATTTTAAAATTCGTAGTTTATCTTATTACCTASSTATAAGATAATTTTTCTTTTTAATAATTGATAAATCTTTCTTTTATAATTTTATTATTATTTAATATGAATTACGTATTTAATATTAAAAAAAAATCAAACAGTAGAATTTTAAGTACCTCATATCCTTATCTAATTATCATACAAGGTCTATAAAAAAAAKTAATATTTATATTATAATATTTGTTGATACGCGCTGGCCGTACGATTTCGTATGCGCTATTTATACTTC